CAGTAAATAAGCAAAATAATTTCAGATAATGATGTATGAGATGAAGAAGACAAAGCAAGGTGACATGATCTGGGGCAGGGTGGGCCTAACTATGTGAGGCATTTGACTTGAGATTAAACAAGTTCCAATCTTGGGAGTCAGAAGGGCCTTAAACTTCCTATCATGTGACCAAATGTTCTCATTCCTGTTCAAGTGGTGCAGCTCCTGAAAGTCTCAGGGCTGTTTGCATAACGCCTTGAAAATATATGAGCGTGTTCAGCCTTAAGGGAGCTAACTAAGAAAATTGGTGCCAAGTTAGATACTATCTGAAATGAGCTATAATATATAATATGAGAGTTGCTAATTTGGTGGGGTTGTTTTGTTGTTGTTTTTCACTGATTACTAAGATATATGTATTTCAGAATGTTTGTCTCATATTGCACAGGGTAGAGGAACAGATAACAGTTACTGTAATCTCACTAACCAGAGGCATCCACCGTTCGTATTTGGGCATATTTTCGTTCTGCCATTTTTCATACTTTTTGTTTGTATAGTTGAGACACACTGTCTCTTCACTTAACATATAAGCATTTCCCTGTCTTTAAAAGCTCTTTGGAAATATGATTTTTATAACTGAAAATTTCCATTATCAGGCAGCATTTAGCCATTTCCCAAATACCAGACATTTGAAATACCCTCTGGCCCTTCTCCCTCTCCCCTCTTTTTTTGAGGTTCATAAGCAAGTCTCTCCTAATGACAAGAGTGCGTTATGTTTCCATGCTTTACTGCTGACGTGGGACATTCATCTCACTTGACCTGTGATAACTCCTGAAAAGTACATAGCACAGTTATGAACACAGCCCTTCTAAAGCCGGCCACAAAGCAACACATTAGTCATCACAATGTATTTCTGTAGCTCTTTACAATTAGGAAGAAAGCTTATGGATTTTTGGCTCCTGCTCTTTTCTTTGTATCCTGTACCCCATGTGGACATCTGTCATAGCATGTGCAATGACTGATTGCACTGATGCATGGACATACCCCTTTCTCAACAGCTCTGAGACTCTTAGAATATGGAACTGGACTGCCATTCGGCTCTGTATCTTCAGCATTTTGTAAGAACTAGATACCTTCGAATAAATCTTAAGTGAAAAAAATATAAATATGAGGAAAAGCTTCAAATTGAGACAACCTAAGAGAGTAGGTGAAAGAGCTTAGGAAAGGTAGAAATTCCCCCATCCTGCGAAGGAATGCCCTCAGCACCCTTTGCAAGACTGGGCCTTCCAGAAAGCAAACGTTGCGAAGTCATTTCTGCCACATGCTTTCACCATCCTTTTGGCAAGATCTTGAATATTCATGTTTGAAAACACGTTGAAGTGCTGGGAGCATTGCTTTCCTGTTTACCAGGAATGTCATTATGTGGCAGGGGTCCTCCGGGGACGCACTTGACCATGAACCCTTGTTTTCATTCGGAAGAATAACAGGATAGTGCGGCAGTGATGTTAAGAGCACTTTTAACCTTGTCGTAAAATCCAGCTTACTGTACTTTGGCCAAGCTCTTAATAGTCTTTATGGCTATTAATTTATCTAGGGTAGCATTTTTGCTCAGTTTAGATCACACGTAGCTTGGTGATGCAGTTAAATGATAGGGTCCCAGCAGAGCAGAAGAGTATGAGTTCACAGGTAGTTAAGCAGCATGCACCTAAGTGATTTGTCCCATACTCCCAAGGCACCTGCGCTTAGCACCTGTTCTTGTAGTAACCGAGGGATACACATGTTGTTTTTGTATAACCTGCCCTGGTCCTGCTAGTACCAGTTCTTTCTTTGCAAAGAAGCAAAAGGGAAGGGGCAGAATAGAAATGAAAGCCACCTTGAAAGACTGTTTTACGCTTTGTAAATCAAAGAACAAAATCCGGTACTGGTGGGGCTGTGATCAAATTGTAAACACTGTAATGTAAATGCTGGTACTGCAATGTAAATGCTGGTGCTGTGGTGCTATTACAAATGGTAGAGAGAATGTGGGAAGTTATTTGGCCCTACGTAGCATGGTACTACACGTTATTCAAAAGAATTGTTTTAAAAGCTCCACATTTTATTGCAGTGTGATCTTTGATAACAAAAACCTGGGCCTAACGTTGGTCCGTACAGGATGTGTTTACTAAATGATGGCACATCAACATGATGGATTATTATGTAGCCTTGAAAATGTGATTATCAAGATAATGTAGGGACTTGGAAATGTTTTACTATCCAATTAGTGTCAAGAAGAGCTGAATGCAAAACATCCTAATTTGTATAAATGTTGAGGTCAAAAGCTAGAAGTTAATATGCAAAAACAAATATAATGTATTTAAGTTGATGGGATTATGGACAGTTTTTGCCTTTAGTGTTGGTAACTGTATTTTTTAAACAATTTTTTGAATAATTACAGATTTACAGAAAAATTGCAAGTATAATAGAGTTCCTACAGAATCTTCACTTAGTTTCCTTCTGTTGTTAATAATCCTGTTTTTAATGGTGTTACCACTTTATTTTAAATTTAAAAGATATTCCTAAGATGATTAAAGATAATTTTAATAGCCACATGTATCCCTCCCATGCTAAAGTCTATAGTAGAGTAGTTCCCCTTATCTGTTCTGAGACCCTCAGTGGATGCCTGAACCTGCGGCTAGTGCCAAACCCGATATATACTGTTTTTTGACATGGTAACGAGTGACTACTAAGTGACTAAGATGGATACGCTGGACAAAGGAATGATTCACAGCCCAGGCAGGACAGAGTGGATGGCGTGAGGTTTCCCCGTGCTACTTAGAACAGTACTCAATTTAAAACTTAGGAATTGTTTACTTCTGGAATTTTTCATTTAATATTTTTGGACCATCGTTCACTGTGAGTAACTGTTAAAACTTCAGAAAGTAAAACCATGGGTCAGGGAGACTGCTGTACATCTTTCCACACCTTTATGTTAGCTCTTACCAACCAATATGTGCATACTGTAATAATTATTATCATAATATGTGTGATAATATGCACATTATTCTGCCAACTTGCTTTTTCCATAATAATACACTATAGTCACGGAGTGGTCTGCAACCCTATGTATTAAAATCATGTAGGCACTTTAAATCCACAGATTTTTCCTGTCCATAGGTGGGCTTAGGAATGAGAATTTGTTTTATGCTCCCTACAGTAATCTGATGTGCAAAAGTCAGGTTGTAGAACTGCTACTCTAGTTAAATAGCTATCAGTTGTATCTAGGTTTGGTTGTAATAGTATTGTTATGCCAGTGTTCATTCCATCTCCACCTTCCGGGTTCATGCCTCCCAAGTAGCTGGGATTACAGGTGCCTACCACCACGCCCAGCTGATTTTTGTATTTTTAGTAGAGATGGGGTTTCACCATGTTGGCCAGGCTGGTCTCAAACTCCTGACCTTAGGTGGTCCACCTGCCTCGGCCCCCTAAAGTGCTGGGATTACAGGCGTGAGCCACCACACTCAACCAATTACAAGTTTTTCATACCATTGAAACAATGATGTAGTAAACATCCCTGTATTTCCCTATACATTGGTGTTTTCCATAGGATACACCTGAGTTTCCTGGGCCAAAGTGTATGTAGATATATATTTTTAAAATACTAATCGATCTTCCTAGATTACTTTCCTAGAGAAATGCTAATAGCTATAAATATTGTTACCATTTTTTAAGTATATAAGCTTCTTCATCAGATTTTCAAGGTTAGTCCCATTTGCTTAAAAAGTGACACATGACAGATTATTTTTAATCATAAAAGCCACAAACTCCATTAGAACGGTGAATGTTTCAAGTGCGTAAAAACCCTGTGGGAGGGAGCTCCATCGTTGTTTTGTTATCCAATAATCAACTGACGCCTTCAGAAGAGGCTGTCTCAGGCTTGGCTTGTTTTCTGGCACTTGGACATCTTCCTCCTTAGTTTCTTTTTTTTTTTTTGGTTTTTTTTTTTTTTTTTTTTGGGACGGAGTTTCACTCTTGTTACCCAGGCTGGAGTGCAATGGCGCGATCTCTGCTCACCGCAACCTCCGCCTCCTGGGTTCAGGCAATTCTCCTGCCTCAGCCTCCTGAGTAGCTGGGATTACAGGCACGCGCCACCATGCCCAGCTAATTTTTTGTAGTTTTAGTAGAGACGGTGTTTCACCGTGCTGACCAGGATGGTCTCGATCTCTTGACCTCGTGATCCACCCGCCTCGGCCTCCCAAAGTGCTGGGATTACAGGCTTGAGCCACCGTGCCCGGCCCTCCTTAGTTTTTTTAACAGTATAGAAAAGGCAGCTTTGAAGGCTGGCTCCTCTGGACATAGCTTCAAGGCCAGAAGAGATGGTCTTAGACTCTTGACTCCAGGGCAACTCCTCCAGTTGCTTGTCTGGGTAGAGGGCTGGCTGGCCAGTGTGTGTTCGGTAGAGGGTTACATACCCAGTGGTCCTTCATAGAAGAAATTCGTAAGTTGACACGCTCCATTTTGCCCCTAAAACCAACCACCTAATTCACGTTTTCCCAAACGTCTTCCACCAAAGTACCTGTAACTGCAAGTGAAAGAGACTTTGCGCTCTAGTGTCTGAGATGAGAGTCACAAACATTTCTTCTTCTCTTTAAAACGTGTGTTCACATTTTAAATTCTGTTCCATGATGTATTTAATAGGAAAAATATTTTAAATTACTTGCCATCAGAAAGAAAATGTCCAAAACTTTTCCTGTCCAACTTTTTCATAAAATTCACACTTTTACACACATTTATGATGTGCATGTCATCCAGGAGCCATGTGTGTTAAGTGTGCCAGTTTTGAAGCATAGCACTAGCTTATTGCTTTCTCCTACAGGTTTATTTAGTGACTTTGGCTCAGGCTTTGCTTGTACCAGGAGAGCGCAGGTTCATGTTACATAGGCTTTTTACAGTATTTCTGTCCTCTTCTGTAGCTTCTATGAGAAACTGGGGAAATTGTAAGAAAGGATTCTGGACACTTAACCTTCTCACTTATGGTTTCTTTGCAGGAGGAGAGGGCAGTGAGAGATAGGAATCTCCTCCAGGTTCAAGACCATGATCAGCCCATCCTGTGGAAAGTGCAGTTTAACTTGGGCAACAGCAGTCGTCCGAGCAATCAGTGCCGGAACTCCATTCAAGGGAAGCACCTCATCACAGATGAACTTGGTGAGGCTGGCTTTTCTTCCTCTCCAGGCGGTCAGGAGCATAGACTGGGTGGGCCATTCATAGGGTTTTTTTTTTTTTTTTTTGAGACAGAGTTTCACTGTTGTTACCCAGGCTGGAGTGCAATGGCGCGATCTCGGCTCACCGCAACCTCCGCCTCCTAGGTTCAGACAATTCTCCTGCCTCAGCCTCCTGAGTCGCTGGGATTACAGGCACGTGCCACCATGCCCAGCTAATTTTTTGTAGTTTTTAGTAGAGACGGGGTTTCACCATGTTGACCAGGATGGTCTCGATCTCTTGACCTCGTGATCCACCCGCCTCGGCCTCCCAAAGTGCTGGGATTACAGGCGTGAGCCACTGCGCCCGGCCTAGGGTTTTTGTTTTAATAGAGATTCCTCTACGATGCATTTTCCCACCTCACTCGTTTCCAGCATTCCTCAGGATTTTGTCTGTTACACCCTACTCATCATTCAAGGTTCCCTTTGACATCAGAGCAGCTTGTCTTGATAACTCTAACTCTTAAAAGCTCCTTCTGCCTACAACTTACAGCATTAGCACTATGTCATGCATTAGTCCCCAGGCCCCTTCTGACAATCTCTCCCCAGCCTCAGTGTTTCCCCATCTTGCCAATCTTTTATTCTCATCTTGATAGTGAACTCTAGAGGATAAGAGGTCAGTTTTCCTTCTTGATAACCTGAATAGAGTTGTGTTGACATTGTGTTGACACTCAAGAAATGTACTCGTTGACTGACCAGGTCATTTCAAAGTAATTGTCAAGAGGTTCAAAAGGTATGACTCTTAACAGTGAAAACATAAATCTATTTGATAAGATTTTCTCACTTTTAAGCTGTCAGAAGATTTCTGCCTGGGCAAGATGGTTGGACTAGACACCTGCTAAGCTCCTACCACTTGAAGATTGCCGAGTCTTAGGGAGTGAGACTCCTGCTAGTGCTTAGCATGTACTCATGGAGCCCTTCCCATGTACCGGGCACTGGACCAGCAGCATTCCTGAATATCTCCTTTGATTTTTGCGACAGTCCTTTGAGATAGATCCCACTATCCTCATATTACAGGTGAAGACATAGCACCGAGGCTGAGGAACTGACCCAGGATTGCCAAAGACTTTTATAACCCTTAAACGCGGTGCCATTATCGCAGCAAAAAGAGTCACAGTTTCTCCTAATGTCAAATATCCAACAGTATGCAAAGTTCCCTGATTGTTTTACATATTTTCTTTTCTACTGGAGGTCTGCGAATAACACGCTTTTTTTTTTCCAAGAGCAAATTTTGCCCTATTTCCAAAAGTCTCAGAACAAATGGATTGTGAACGTGGCAATATGGAAATTGCTATAGGTAACATTGTGTTAGAATCTTCATCTATACCCAATGAAGCTGAACTAAATGAAGACACCTTGCTGTCTTTAAAATGAAAACCACAGGCCAGTGTGTTGCCTCACACCTGTAATCCCAGCACTTTGGGAGACCAAGACAGGAGGACCACTCAAGCCCAGGAGTTCAGGAACAGCCAGGGCAACATTACAAAACTCTGACTCTACAACAAATAAAAAATTAGCTGGACATGGTGGCACACCTCAGCCTCCTGAGTCCCAGCTACTGGGAGGCTGAAGTGGGAGGATCACCTGAGCCTGGGGAGGTTGAGGCTGTAGTGAGCCATGATTATGTCACTGCACTGCAGCCTGGGTGACAGAGTGAGAACCTGTCTCAAAAAAAATAACAATAAAAAACCACAGTGCATTAGTGCTTAAAAAGGGGGGGTTTGGGCCAGGCGCGGTGGCTCACGCCTGTAATCCCAGCACTTTGGGAGGCCGAGGCGGGTGGATCACGAGGTCAAGAGATCGAGACCATCCTGGTCAACATGGTGAAACCCCGTCTCTACTAAAAATACAAAAAATTGGCTGGGCATGGTGGCGCATGCCTGTAATCCCAGCTACTCAGGAGGCTGAGGCAGGAGAATTGCCTGAACCCAGGAGGCGGAGGTTGCAGTAAGCCGAGATCGCACCATTGCACTCCAGCCTGGGTAAAAAAAGCGGGGATCCCCGTCTCAAAAAAAAAAGAAAAAAAAAAAGGAGGGGGGGTTTGTATTCCTTGCAAAATAAAAACACTTTTTAAAAAAGATCTCAAAGTCCCCAAACCAGAGATGAAATTATTTGGAAATGAAGAAAGGAGCTGGGGAAAACTGCCCGCCTCAGGTAACACAGCTAGAGTGTTTTGCACCAGAATGCATTCCCAACTCAGCAGCGATGCCAGCGACAAGCTGTATTTTTAAGATCACATCGAAAAAGCAAATCATATTAAAAATAACGTGGGTTTTATTTTTGTTTTTAATAAGCAGAGTGAAGTTTAGCAAAAGGAGTTACTTCCACAAGATGACATAGTCAGGAGGCAGACATTGACTTGGAGTTCAGGGCTTCTTACAGGGTGTGTGACATTCAGTGAGAAAACATGAAATCTTATGTTCTGATTTTCATGTTTAGCATTGGGTTAGGAGCACAGTTTGGCATCTTCTTTTGTCATAGCTAGTGAAAGAATATTCTTTTGATTAATCTGGGTGAGACAGACTCTCAGACTCCTTGAGTAAAAAATTCCAGGAAGGAATCAATCAGTCAATTAATAAAAATCCAAGAGCTATAGGTTTTATTTTTTCTCCATGAATGTGGGTGAAGTAAGTAGTTTAGTTAAGAAAGCATGTAAGAACTTATGCCTCTTAGCAAGCAGATGCCACTATGAATATTGCCAGGGTAACACATTATTAAATAAGATCATTTGTATTTACAAACTTTTCAAAGGCTGGAAGTTAATTTTCAAGGCAATAGCAACACAGTATGAGGTTGTGATCTTACAGGACTCCTGTTGGAAATAACGTTTGCGTGAGTGGATGTGTGATGCAAGATGAGAGGTCTTGATGAGCTTGCTTTCACTGAGCGAGAAAAAGCTGCAGTTTCAAGGCTGAATATTGTAAGTTGCAGTGGGGAAGAAAAAAGAATGCCTGAGATGCTGACACTTAACGAAAAGTAAAGGGCAGAAAGGGAATTTCAACTGGTAGAGTTTAGGTCACATTATATAGAGTTGCTATGTATGTATTATTTTGAGCAGAATTCGGAGGAAAATGCTAACTAACTTATTTACATTTTGTGTTTGTTTCTAATCCCTGTACAGAAAATGAGTAGAAATAGGAAGAATCCCAGGAAACATTTACTATAGTATCAGAATCATTCCTCTCTTAATTTAGAAGACAGAATAACATAAACAGCAACTACAATAAAAGGCACCAATTCCCAAGTATCTGGAATCCAGTTCTCTATAGGTCTCATTTGTCCAAGTCTTAAGTGAGGGCCTATATAGTTGCTTCATTATCATTATTCTACTGCTGCCTCCTGCTTTTGAACAGACTTTGTTTTCTAAAGTAGTTTCTGAAAACAACCTTAGACTTCACCAAGTCTCCTTCTCTGAGGATTAAGAACCTGGGGCCTGTGGAATGGAGTAAGGCGGGGAGCAGCTGCTCTGCACCTGTGTGCCTGCGCATGCACCTGGGAGCTCATGTGTACACCTGGGAGTTTCCTGAGGGCCAAGTGGTGGCCCTTATGGGCTTCTCCTTACATTTTTCTGTCTCATTCCCAGAAGGATGTAGAGAAATGTCTGTTTAGCAGCTCTAAACAATAAATTCGCTTTTGTAAGGAGATTTTTTTTCTCTAAAGTTGGGCATGAACTGGCGGGTTAGAGGGGGCTTGTGTATATAGATGATGGGATTTATAAGAAGTGTGGGGGGATTAGGAGGTTTTTTTCTTCCATGAGTGTTAGAGAACTGCATTCCCAAAGGCCGAGGGGTGATTGAGTCCCTGGCATGTACATGTACAAATCAGTTTATAAGGGTTAGATGTGAATGTTTCTATTTTTATAATCCTCCAGATTACTCAGTAAGCAGCGAGCATCTAAAAGAGATTTGTAAAGTGGTTTGTTTGTTAACTCTAGAAGGATCTCACTTCTGTCAATCAGTGCCTTGGTTTTTTTCTGTTTTAAACTTTTTGTTCAAAAGGGAATGACATTTTTCTTCAGCCACAGATGAGCTGTTGGCTGGCATGGGTTAGGATAGGAGAACGTAGCTGTGGCTTGACCTGGTGATGAAATCAAACGTGTGCCAGCAGACTAAACAGTGGTTGTAGGTAGGTTACGACGGGCAGCCTGGCAATAATGTGGGAGTGTGTGCTTCCCGTACACGACCGCATGGGGAAAGCAAGCCCCACTCACAGTATGTCCAATTTCCAGCTCTTTGGTGCTTAGGATGATGCTCCAGACTCCAGCTCCTGTCTCTTTGTGTTCTTTGCGTGCTGTACTTTCAGTGCTGCTTCATGGTCATCCCTGATAGGGAGGTGGAGAGGCTGCTGGTTTTATGCTAAGGTGGTCTCTGACTTTCAGGCTACGTTTGCGAGAGGAAGGATTTGCTGGTGAACGGCTGCTGTAACGTGAACGTCCCCAGCACAAAGCAGTACTGCTGTGATGGCTGCTGGCCCAACGGCTGCTGCAGTGCTTACGAGTACTGTGTCTCCTGCTGCCTGCAGCCCAACAAGGTATGGGGAGTTGCTCCTGGCTCCACAGCTCCTTTTTCCTTTTGGCTTTTGTTTTGTGATGAGCATTAGGCTCTTCCTGTGAGGTTCTTCTGAAAATAAAACTTAGAAAGGAACTTCGCAGGTGTCAGAAATTGCTGCACAATAGCTTTTATCTGACAGGAAAGGAGGTGGTTCCCAGTTGCTTGAATGGTTCTTTGGCAGAATGGACCATTGTATTACTAATCACATATCTAATGAATAAGATACCCTGGGTGCTGTGGCCTGCACGTGTGTGCACGCGTGTATCCCTTCCCCTCCCTCCTTTTTTCTTTCTCTTTCCTCCCTCTCCCTATATCAGCATTCTCTTAGTTTAGGAGAGATAGCCAAGGTCACCTTGTGCTGGCTTAGGTAATTTATTACAGGCACTAACTTTTGTTTCCATAGCAACTTCTCCTGGAGCGCTTCCTCAACCGGGCAGCTGTGGCATTCCAGAACCTCTTCATGGCAGTCGAAGATCACTTTGAGTTGTGCCTGGCCAAATGCAGGACCTCATCCCAGGTCAGAAGCTGTGATGTCTCTAGCTATAGGATGGCAGCGGACGGGTTAGAAGAAAACTAGAAAATACACACTGAGATCCTTTTGCTGGGGTGGTAATGGAGAAGAGACTCAAATGAAGCCATGTCACGCTTTGTTTGGTGTAATGATAGTATTTAAAATGTCAACGTGAGATTTATACAAGTTAGGGGAAGTGAAGCATTTATATGAAATCAGGGTCTAATCAACTTGCATCTCTCCTATCTGGTGGGTACATTTGCTCTTTAAATGGAAGCTTAAAATTATTTTTAAGCCTGGTAGAGTCCTAATAGTCCAGCTCCCAAGAGAGGGTCCTCCTCCCTGTCTTTGAAATTTGACCAAGGCTTTCCAGTAACCACTCGTTTAGAGTAAGTAGCAATTTGTTCTGGGATGGAGTCATTGTTTATTTTAGGATTCAAGGGGATGAGGCAGGTGAATGTTTAAAAATACATGAATAAATCTGTAGGCTGTCAGGCTCTCAATACGAATTAGCGTGCTGTCATTAAATGCTTCGCTCTTTGGGCATTAAATATTATTGCACCTGCTGCCGAAAGCATCTGAAAGTCTTTTGCCTTTTCATCACTGTCTCCTTGGCTCTCAGCTATTGTGATTGGGCAGTTGTGGAGCTCTCTTTGTAAAATCACCAGACGTGTTTATTATAGCGCACACTTCTTCTGGCTCCTATTCATGGTGTCGCTAAGATTTTACTGGCTTCGTCTGAGATAATGGACTCATTTGTCATTCTCCAAAGCTCTTGTACCCTTTGCCAGATTTCTGTAGTCCACCTTTTGATTTTATGTCCCTTCTCATGTCTCCGGTTTGTTCTGCGAGCATTCAGTATCATTGGGTAAATGTTTCAGGGATTATAATGAGCATTTGAAAACATTAAGAAATTCCTGATGGTCTTGTTTTGCTTGAAGAGCTTTCCACATGAATGAGCTTTAAAAGAAATGAGGAGGAAGGCTGAACACATGACTCATTTTGATTCAGATTCTCTCTCATTCTGAGAAACGCTAGAAAAGGCGAAGTATTTTCTTTCCTTCACTGATAAAACCCAAGAATTATTTCCAGTCTTCAGCGAAGCTCCTGTACTTTCGGACCTGGTCTTTTCACCATAAAAAGATTTCCCAGTTGCCATTTGATTTGTTTTGATAAAAGTATCCCAAGAAAGAGAAGATTTGGCTATATGTCTGTTAAATTGGATGAATATTTACAAGTTTGTTGCTTAGCATTGGTCTTGGACTAATTAATGAATTCCAGACTAGCCAAAAGCTCAAGTTGCTTGTATGAAAACAAATTGCTGAAAAATCAGCCATCAGGAATGATTGTCTGCTTTAACTCACACTTCCAATTTGCTTAGCCAAATGAGGCTTGCATCGTATTGTAGGTTTTGGCTCATGCACCAAATTTTTAGGTACATCAGCTTTATGAAAGCAATTTAAAGTGCATCTCCTTAGTGTCTCTGCCGGGTTCCTTACCAGGAACTGAATGTCTGAAGCACAGGATCAGGCACAAAACACCCATCAGGATCTTAGTCTGTTTCAGGTAATTTGAGAAAAAGTAGTTGTCTCAAGTAGCCAGGTCACAGCCAAGTTATTTAAAAAACTCACTAGTATACATAAAAAGAAACAACCCCACAGTGCTGTTATGTCCATGTTCATGTAGTTCGTTGGCATTCTGGGTTGAACATTCTTCTTTGTTCCAGAAAGTGCCTTGGAGCCTTTAGTGACATTTGGAGATGGACTGGGCCAGCCTCCTGCAGGGAGAGTCTGACAGTCCTGATTGACTCTCACTCTTCCGAGAGGGAGGTAGGTGAAGCTGTGCTCGCTCTCACTACGCACTTATCTTCCTTTTGCCAACAGAGCGTGCAGCATGAGAACACCTACCGGGATCCTATAGCAAAGTATTGCTATGGAGAAAGCCCGCCCGAGCTCTTCCCTGCATGACGGGTGCAGCGGACTTGGTCCAGCCCGGGTGAGGAGGCCCCGCTGAAGAACTCGCCTCCTGGGGCCCAGCTTTGGCAGTTGGGACCAGGCTGTGGGAAGAAGACAAAGGCAGGGCAAGGAAACCTTGGCTTTGACCACATCTCGTGTTGTCATCCTTGGCTTTGCTTACCACCGGGCTTACCAGATGGAACTCTTCTGCATAGCGGCTTGGACCCTCCAGCCCGTCCCGTTCGGGAAAGATGAAACCACAGGCTGGGCTCGTGGTGGTGTCGAAGTTCTTGGGTGACTCAGCCCTGGGACCTGCACAGGGACCTGTGACTTGTGTTCGTCAAGGGCCGGTGTCACCTCCAGTTTCGATCCAGGCCCTTTCACTGTAAAATTATTTATTGGATTCCTTTGGAGCAATGGGAAAATTCTAATGTTTTATGTAGGAAGATGCCTTGCCATTCTAGTGGAATATGTTCAAGGAAATTATTTTTGTTGTTGGTCTATGTTCTCAGCTTTCAGGATTTAAATCATTCTTTCACCCAGATAAAGCATTTTGTCTTTTAGGACATGGGTGTTTTCTCTAGGCAGTTATTTTTGTTTGTATTTTGACAGTATCAAGCATAGGCCCTGAACATGACCTGTTAGCCATATCCTAATGTCTAAAATTATCTGAAAACTCACTCTTCCTTTCTAATCTAACTGCAGGATTTCTAGCAGTGGGTACTGTGTGCCTGCCCTCAGGTTCTTTTCTAGTGGCAGTTGAATGTGCTCATATACCCTATGGAGAGCACTGTTTTAGCAGAAATCTAATTTCTTATCCTGGAGGAATTTGTTCTCATTTCTTTTGCCATTTAAAATTAACTGTGGGCTGCTCAGGGGGAGCCTCAGGAGGGTCAGAGGCTCCTCCTCCCGTTCTGTCAATAGACACCTAGTGTTGAGGCAATCCCTAAACAGACTCACCTCGCAGGTGTGTGTTTATTCTTTATTGCTTTCAGCTTCGGGGTGTAACAGGTACAAATGTTTGGTTTCCCTATGATCTGTAAAGAAGAAGAAACTCAACTTCCTATCAGAGCACTGCAAGAGAAGAGCACAGCCCTCAGTGGGAGATGAGGGTCATTCTGACTTAGAGAATGCCGCACATGTGGGTTGCTGGTGCGTCCTGAATACACCGGCGTAAAGCACACCCCATTTTTCCTACTGTAACACAGATTCTCCAGCTCAAGGTCTAGAATATTTGATCCTAAGATCAAGACATCATGCTCTTTGAATAGTACTGCTCTTTGACTTCAGGAGGCATATTAACATACAACTCTCCTATATTCCTTCACAAACCTCAGGATTGAGCAAGGGCTTTGTAATGTTTTTTGGTTCAAATTATTGACCTGGGAGCAAGGTGCTAATTCTATGGCCAGTATTCAACGTTTTCCTCAGTGGAGCTTTTGCTTTGGGCCGTATTCGCCATCCAGTACGTTTCTGCAATATGTAGTGGTGGTTTTCCTTAACTTCCTCCTACTACCTCTTATACTCATCTCCCAAAATTATTTGCCTCCTTTAAATAGGTTTTCTTAGAGGGTACGCTGGTCAGGCAGTTTTTAAAATATTAGATCCCAAGAAATCTATTCCATTTGCATTGGACTTTTCAGAGTCCAGCAGGACTAAATCAAACTCTGACGTGACAGGATTGTGGCTTGTCTACATATTTCATCCATCCAGAAAAAAACTGAGTTTTTTCTGGTAACTCAGTTTGGAATTTCAGTGTCTGTCTTCCCTTGGTTGACATTGGTATCACCCTCTCCTTTGAGCTTATTTTAACTCTTGAGCAACATCATGTAGATTTCATATGAACAGTTTATACTAAAGGGCAGCCTGTGCCTATTTACAGATCCTCCCTGACTTTGTACTTGAAGAGTGCATTTTACATTTCCAGCGCTTTCACAAACAGGAACTCCAACCTTACGATGGAGAATTAAGCTTTCTTGTATTTCCACTTTGTGGATGACGAAATAGTGAGAGGTAAAGTGACTTCCCGGGTCTCCACTGAGATTTAGTGACAGATCCCAAACAAGAACTTCGTCTCTGACTCTAGGTCCAGTCCTCTTCCCACTGTCTCTTGCCAGCTCCGTCCTGACTCACCATGGGCATCTCCCCTGGGAGCAGATATGTTTCAATTGTCCAGGCCAAAAGAGGGATGAGGTGGTATAAACACCCAAATTAGGGGGAGGATCCAAAGGTCATTTTCATCTGGCTGTGGAATATGTTTTTGTACTTCAGTCAGCTACGGGTATGTTCACTGTTTTTGGAAATTCACAGCGCTTGAGCCTCTGTAATGAAGCCGGGCTGCAGAGCACCTGGCACGTGCTCCAGGCTCGCTGCTCCCAGCCTAGGACCCTTCCCTGCCCTCCACTCTGGTTTGTTTCTGATTCCCTCGACCGAGGGTTTCTAGAATCAGGGACCTTGTCTAAGTTTTGTTTGCCCAGAGCCCAACAAAGTGTGAAATAACACGTTGGGAGTTTAGAAGATCACAAAAGGGATGAAAACACCTTTAGAAAAAAATGTTATTGACCTGGTGCAGTGGCTCACGCCTGTAATCCCAGCACTTTGGGAGGCTGAGGCGGGCGGATCACCTGAAGGTAGGAGTTCAAGACCAGCCTGACCAATATGGTGAAACCCCGTCTCTACTAAAAATACAAAAACTAGCCGGGTGTGGGGGTGTGCGCCTGTAGTTGGGAGACTCCGTCTCAAAAAAAGGAAAAAAAAAAAAAAGAAAAATGTTATTAATAAGTGAGTATTTTAGGCTGAAGGGAATTGAGTCATACAGCACATCTCCCCCAGCTCTGCATCTTATTTGCTGTGCTTCTTGCTGGAGTTGTAAAGATTGGTCCTAATGGAAAGAAACACACAAGAGACTGTGAAGAGGGCTCTGAGAACAGCAAGGACAAAGGAGGGAGCGAAACACCTTACATGGGGCCTGGGACCTGGCCATGCTAGAGCTGGTTTTTTTTTGAGATGGAGTCTCGTTCTGTCGCCCAGGCTGGAGTGCAGCAGCACAATCTCGGCTCACTGCAACCTCCACCTCCTGGGTTCAAGCGATTCTCCTGCCTCAGCCTCCCAAATAGCTGGGATCACAGGCATGCACCACCACACCCAGCTAAGGTTTTGTATTTTTAGTAGAGACAGGGTTTCACCATATTGGCCAGGCTGGTCACAAACTCCTGACCTCAGGTGATCTGCCTACGTCAGCCTCCCAAAGTTCCAGGATTATAGGCGTGAGCCACCGCACCCAGCCTGGAGCTGTTACTGATGGGTGAACTCCACAGCTTTTGCAGAGGATAGGACTTGAGAGCAGTGCTGTCACCTCTCAGCATGTCCCCAAGCCTGACTGGGGCCTCCTAGAGACGCCTCAGTTGGCATTTGCCCCACAGGAACTGTGGGGAGCAGTTGCACAATTTGTAAGTTTCTGAGTGCAGCTTTTCCGATCCCTTGGGATCTGTAGATAAATTGTAAATGCAGGGAGGTACTGCTTATTGGATATACTTTTCTTTTCTTTTTTTTTTTTTTTTTTTGAAAGAGGGTCTCCTTTTTGTCGCCAGGCTCAAGGCTGGAGTGCAGTACTTCAATCAGCTAGGGGCACAATCTTGGCTCACTGCAACCTCCGCCTCCCGGGTTCAAGCAATTCTCCTGCCTCAGCCTCCCAAGTAGCTGGGACTACAGGTGCGCGCCACCACACCCAGCTAATTTTTGTATTTTTAGTAGAGACAGGTTTTCACCATGTTGGCCAGGACGGTCTCGATCTCTTGGCCACGTGATCCGCCTGCCTCGGCCTCCCAAAGTGCTGGGATTACAGGCTTGAGCCACGGCACCTGGCCTGGATATACTTTTCATAGGTAGGACAGAATTCTTTTGGGACTCTGTAGTTGGGAACTGCCACTTACTAGCGGCGTGGCCTGAGGCAGTCTTCCTCCTCTGCGTCTCAAGCCCTTTACCTGTGAAATGGGATCACAGCATCTGCCTCTAAGGATCACTGTGAGGTGTTGATGTGAGCAAAGCCTGATGCTGGCAAGAAGTCAATGTCTGCAACTCAGCGGGGAGCAACAGCAGGGGCAATTGGGGGTAGGCTCCACAGGGCTGGATGGACTCCTGGGGTTGGAAGGGTAGGGATTACAGAGCTCTTGTTAGTATTGTACTGTTTTTTTGTTGTTGTTGTTTCTTTTTTGAGATGAAATCTCACTCTGTCATCCAGGCTGGAGTGCAGTGATGTGATCTTGGCTTGCCACAACCTCCGCCTCCCGGGTTCAAGTGATTCTCCTGCCTCAGCCTCCAAAGTAGCTGGGATTACAGGCACGCCCCACTGCACCCAGATAATTTTTTGTATTTTTAGTAGAGACAGGGTTTCACCATGCTGGCCAGGCTGGTCTTGAACTCTTGACCTCAGGTAATCCTCCCACCTTGGCCTCTCAAAGTGCTGAGATTACAGGCGTGAGCCACCAGGCCAGACCTCATGTTATTATTTTTAAGAAGAACTCATGCCAAAGGTAAGAAATTCCAGATAATTCAGAAACATGTAAGGAAGAAACTCATGATAACCTAAAATCACACAACCTAGAGATAAGTGCCACCCATTTTTGTCTTCCCCCATTCCCTCCCTCCCTCCCTTTCTTTCTTTCTTTCTTTCTCTCTCTCTTTCTTTCTTTCTCTCTCTCTCTTTTCTTTCTTTCTTCTTTCTTTTCTTTTTTCTTTTTTTTTTTTTTTTTTTGAGACGAAGTCTCACTCTCTTGCCCAGGCTGGAGTGCAGTGGTGGGATCTTGGCTCACTGCAACCCCCGCCTCCCAGGTTCAGGCAATTCTCCTGCCTCAGCCTCCTGAGTAGCTGGGATTACAGACATGTGCCACCACACCCAGCTAATTTTTGTATTTTTAGTAGAGATGAGGTTTCACCATGTTGGTCAGGCTGGTCTCAAACTCCTGACCTTGTGATCCACCCGCCTCAGCTTCTCAAGGTATTGGGATTACAGGCGTGAGCCACCATGCCAGACCCTTCCCCATTTTGTAGGCAAAAATGAAAGCACTTTGTCCTCTTTAGGAAAACAATTCTCTAATGAATATTCTATGTTACATAGAGGCCTATGTAATATATTTGCATGGCCACATGGTGTCAATTTCATGGATATACAATAATATTATTAATTCCCTGCTGAGGACATTAACTGGTTTCCAAGGCTGCTTGTTGTTTTTGCTACTACAAATAATGCATTGATGATAAATACTTTCACATGCATGCTTGTATGTTTATCTGAACTATTTTCACCAATTTATATTCATCTGGTGTGGATGGGAGTGTCCATTTTTGGCCTACCCCTGATAACCGTGTGTTATTATTTTTAAACATTTTGGTAATGGATCTCAGTGTTCTCGTTTGAATTTATTTAATTTCTAGCAGAATGAGCCCCATGCCCTGTTTTCATTGGTCATTTATTATGTACATATGGTGAAATGTCTACTCGTGACCTAGCCAGTGTTGTTTCTGTTTCCTACTGATTACTACAGTACATTTTTAAATGAAAGCAGCCTTTGTCCCCTTCCCTTTTTTTTTCAGTTCTGTGTTAGAAGCAAGTAGCTCACATATTCACAAACTGACTTTTCCCATTGGTCTAGGGCAGTGGTGTTCAACCAGGGGTAATTTTGCCCCCCAGGGAACATTTGGGAATGTCTGGAGACATTTTTGTCACGGCTGGGGAAGAGGGCAGTGCTGTAGGCACGAGTGGAGGGAGGCCAGGGATGGCGCCCAACGTCTCACAGTGCCCAGGACAGCCTTGTGACACAGAATGACCTGGCTGGAAGTGTGAGCTGGGTGGAGGTAAGGAGGCCCTGCTCTCGGGTCATCGCTCCCTCTTAGGTGGAACAGAGGAGCTCCTGGTAGCTGAGTGCTGACTTCAAGCTGAGTGCTGACTTCATTATTTCCCTGCCCTTGCTTTCTGCCATGCTGAAGTGCTGCTGATTAAATTACCCTGAAATCCCCACAGGACACGTTACTTCCTCACAGATCTCTACCAACCCAGAGCTGCCTTCAGGAATGGCATTATTACTTCGCCACTGCGTCCTCACCACACTCCTGGACTCCACCAGATGCAGACACCCTCCTGTCTGCAGGAGGATCTGGAGGGGTAGACACACTTCCCCTCCAAGACAGACTGGCTCTCCCCAGCACCTCGCCAGCAGTTCTTTGAATGGAGTGACTTCGGAGGTAGGGGTTGGGGAAGAAATGTGGGCCTGTTATTACAGATTCTATTTAGAAAACTAGTTCTTCTATGAAAAAGGTATCACATAAGTGAATAGGAGCAATAAAAACAAAGAAGACAGTGGGGCTGTGAGAAGCTTTCCCCACCTCTGGCGTGTTAGTCTGTTGCTTTTTGGGCAAGGCTCTTCCAGCGTGCGACCTTTTGCATGTGCTCACTGCGTGAGGGCTGTTTTGTATAGAGGCATTCCTGCTTTGAGCATGTATCTGCGACATGCCTTATCCAGTCCGCTGTCACAGAGCAAAGTGGAGGAAGTGGTTGACGCTGGTCTGCACCTGAGCTGGGAGCCAAGTGGTGATGAGTATAGAGACCAACTCTCCAGAACCTCCTCAGTGACCTGCCTAGGTATGACTCAATTAGTTCTTGATGTTGGAGTTGAACTGCTGGACTGTCTGTAAAATCGAAGTGCAGCCTTTAATACTGTAGTGAAGAAAACCACTTGCCAGTTACAACCCATGAGCAAAGCAGTTAAATATTCAAATATTTTACCAAGACTCCAGGTGTATATTTTCTCAGGACTGCACATTCTATGAGACCAGAGGGACCAAGACATCACTACTAGAAATGTGTGGTTTATTAGCACTTCCAGAGTTTTTGATAGGGGAGTTAATTCTTGGAATCTTGAAATTCATGTTTTTTTCTTAATGCAATGTGGGGTATTTAAGCTTCTGATCACTGCACACCCAGATTATCCCAAAATCAAAAGTGATGTTGGCAGCTGGATGTGTTGGCTCACACCTGTAATCCCAGTACTTTGGGAGGTCAAGATGGGAGGATTGCTTGAGCCCAGAGTTTGAGACCAGCCTGGGCAACATAGGGAGACCCCCATCTCTACCAAAGAAATTCTAAAAAGTAGTCAGACATGACAGTGTATGCCTGTAGTCACAGCTACTCAAGAAGCTGAGGTGGAAGGATGGCTTGAGCCCAGGAAGTGGAGGCTGCAGTGAGCCGTGATTGCACCACTGCTCTCCAGCCTGGGCCGTGGGCGGGTCGGGGGGTGAGCATTGGCTAAATGAGAAATCATTATCACTCATTCGAGATTCCAGGCTATGTTGGTCACATCTCTATTCCTAAGGAAGAGAGAGAGAGAGAGAGAGCGAGTGAGGAGAGAGAGAGAGAGTGTTGTCTTGTCCTATGGGGATTGGGGCATTGTATTAAGTTGTATTCAGGGATGTTGTCAAGATGGCAATGTTCAGTAAGTTACTAGCTGAATAAATATTTGACCAGTTGATGCTAATTTGAATAGTAAATGTGATGACATTATATAGTCTAGGGGATGTTTCCAATACTTCGGCAACAAAATCGGTATGAAGTATGTGAGTAGTATCCTAATTTTATTGATGAGAGCACTGATCTTAATGACCTTGAGTAAATTAACCTCTCCGGCTTTGGTTTCCTCATTTGTCAATTAAGGGTGATTGCTAGCTTATCTTGCAGATCCAGATTCCAATTTTTGTGACAAGAAAAGTCCCCCGCCTGTTAAAGCAAGACCAGAGCCCATGTCTCCCCACAGCTAGGTCCCAGGCTTTGACTTTCACAGGGCAAATGTAGCCCAGCCATCTGGTGCCTGTTTTTCCCCAGCCCTGGGCTTCCTCCTTCCCTCTTGCAGATTTCAACTGGGGCTC